AATTCGAGCTCGAGAGCTGTCGTTCGCGATTCTCCCGACCTCTTTAAACCAGGACCCCGACTTAGATAATCTCGAAGATACCACGGAGTTCCCTTGGAAATGTGATTGGGAGGTGGAGGGCGGCTTATGTGGGAGAATGTTCCAAACACATCGGGATTTGATGAATCAGATGCGCCGTACACATCAAGTTCATAATCTGAGCTTCACGATCACACCAACAAACATATGCATATTGTGCCGTCGTGCGTTTGGGTCTCAGGGTAACACTTTTAAGCACCTGCAGCGGGCAATCTTGGCGGGGATGCGCCCAGTTTGGGGGACGTCGACGTTGCGCACGATTCAAGTTCCATCGAGTTTTGGATGCAGAGTTTGTGGTTACAGAGCGAGCGGACTCGATAACCTCTGTAATCATGTGGCAGAGTTGCATCTTCCACGGCTTGTTGACGCGAACTTACCTTCACGTCCTGGCCCTGACAGCAATGCCAGAGCATGCGGCGGCGCTGAAAGCCCCACCATCAGAAGGCAGCCCTCCAAAGTCGCGCAAGGTCGCCACGGTGGGGAAAAGGGACCTCGGCAAGCTCGTAGGCTCTACGCTGGCGCAACTCATCGTCATTCTCGCAAAATTGGTGCTCTCAGACAACAAGCAACTGGCCGAATTGACGGCAACCGTGTATCGAACGTTCGACATATACGCAAACGTGCATCATGGAGGAGTCGGGGCAGCAGTACAATGCCGTGTCTCTATGCCTAAAGAGACAAGCAACAGATGGGAGAGCAAGTCAATTGGGAAGCACGCGGGGACCATTTGTGCAGATATTGATGGCTTCGATGCTGTGGGCGGCGAAGGAGGCGGACAAGCAGGACGCTCCAGAGCGGGCGAAAACCATCAAGATGATGTGGGCGGAGAAGATCAGCAAGATAGGGATGAGCGAGGTGGGCGCGATGGTGCTCCACTGGCAGTGGAAACGCAACAAGGGCAAGCAGTCGGAGACTGACAACAACAGGGGCAATATCATCTTCGCTATCGACACCACCAGCCGGCTCGGCCTCGAGTTGCTGAAGCAGATCGAGATGATGCTCGCGGGGCTCCAGGCGGAGAGGAAGATCGAACCCACGCCCCGCGGGCCGCTGGAGAGGGACGCAAGCAAGTTGTTGGCAGAGATCGAGGCATCGGCAGCGTGAACAGCAAAATGCAGCAGAGGAATACTTGGCAGAGTGAGAATGCATGTAGACCTTCTCCCAACCCAATCGTAGCACCAGGCAGTCAAATCCCGTTCGGCTGAATTTTTTAGAGAGTATGTCCGATAGTGCGAGGCTAACCGAGCTGATCGCCCGAGGGTTTGTAAGTTCTGATGTTTTGGACCCGAGCCCTCACCCCGTCCCATCTGCCTACGGCCCTGGAGTAGCGAGCACTCACACCATCCAGAGGGAAGGGTTGCGCAAAGGGAGAGGCAAGAGAGGGAGGGGCAAAGGAGAGGGCACGGGTCGGTAGCAGTCTGCATTGGTCCCCATCGTGGGACCCTCGTTAGGCTGCGTGCCGAATTCGGGGGGGCTCGCAGGGGCGGTGCGGTGTCCGTCGAAAGTCACGGGCTGCATCGGAAGGTTTGGCGACATCGAATTTCGTCACCCAGAGTTCACCCTGCCCCACTCCGCTAGGCAGGTAGCTGGCAGGCAGTCAGCGGTAGCAGACGAACTCCCACGGGCCTGATCCTGATCTTGATCCTGATCCACTTCCTCCTTCTCCTGCTGCTGTTCCTTCCTCCTCTCACCCTGCTGGCTGCTAACCCTCGTGCTCATCCTTCTCTTTGATCATGACGCTCCTCCTTTTCATCCTTACCCGCGTGTTCTCCTTCCTCCTCCTCCTCCTCCTCCTCCTCCTCCGCATCGTCCATCCACGTCGACCTCCTTCTCCTCGTTCTCCCCCCCCGTCCTACTCTCTCCTCCTCCGCCCCCTTCCGCCTCCTCTTCCTCGCGCTCCTCCGCCTCCTCGTCGCCCCCCTCTCCGACTCCGTGGGGCCACAGCCATAACCTCGAGTGTGGCTGCGGGGGGCCACGGGGGGCCGCGCCTTGCGTGCCCGTGTCCTCCTCCCCCCCCCTTCGGACTCTCCTCGCGCCCCTCGCCGCGATGCCGTGCCCCTGCCCGTGCCGTGCGCCGCCGGCCTCCCCCGAGCGAGAGGAGCGGCACTGGCCGCCCAGCTCCTCCTCCTCCCCCCCCCACGCCCTCCCCCTGCCCAGCTTCTCCCCCTCCCCCCGCCCAGCTACTCCTCCTCCCTCCCTCCCCCATCCCACCCCGTGCTGAAGGGAGGGAGTTTTTTGGCGGGGCAGGGAGCTGCCAATTCCTCTCGCAGGAATCCCTCAAGTATACCGCTCGGCGCCACCCCCCCACAAGGGGGGGGCAGTCAGCCAGCAGCGTGTCAACGATGCTGACTGGCACCGATCCGATCTCCCCGCTCTCCTCCTCCTCCCCCCCTCCCCGCCCCCCCTCCGCCAGGGGGAGGGACCGCCTCCGCCCCGATCCCGTCCGAGGCGGCCCCGCTCGCGGGTCGCGGGGGCGGGCGGGCGTCGGCGGGGGCGGGCGGGGCGGGGCGGAGGGGCGTGCGCAGCTCGGGGGGCGGGCTCCCGGAGCGCGGGCGGCC